TTTAAATGGAATATAGTTTATAAGAAATTATAAATCTTATTACTACTAGTTATTATGATACTATAATATATAAAAAAATATTTAAAATAATTTAATATTAAGTAGTTGAAAATATATAAATTAATATAGGAACATTTAATTATTTAAAATTATTTTGAATGTTATTAAATTATTATTGATCAAAAGTAATCATACCTATTAAGGCATATAGATAGGTACTCGTAAATAAAAAAACTGTAATCTCAGGGACATGAAACGTTTCGCTATTAATTATAGTCTTTGTCTTTTAATACAGTATAATTTTAAAAATATTTAGAATATTTTAAAGCTATTTAATATAATATATAGTTAACTATAGTCTACAAGCATTTGACCGTTTCGATATTCTTTTATTTGGAATGAATTATATTGTACGACTTATTTCTCAGTCAAAAACATTTAAAATATAACATATGATTCCTTACAAGTTGTCTAATTGCAAATTAAAAAAAATAGATAGTGCATATAGTAACCATTCCATTCCAAGTTCACATTTTGACAAAATACGTCATAATCAGCAGGTAAATTATTTTTCTTATATATATAGTCTTAAGAGATTTACAACTTATCAGTTATCATAATAATAAGCCATTACTTATTTATAAATGTTAATTTCTATACATTGACATTATCAAGATATTTCAAGAATTGTTAAGCTATAATATAAGCCGCTGTGCTTTTATAAAATTTTTAGAATATTTCAAGTATCTACGGTTATTCGTTTTTAAGTGATTAAACTTAGATTAAATCATTAGGAAAAACTTTGATTTTGTAGAAAACAAAAATTAAATAAAATCCTATAATTTATTAATATTTTTTGTACACATAATTGTTATTATTATGTTACCATAATATTGTAAAATCAATACATCCATCGCTCCGCTCAAAATCTAAATTGGTTATGGTTTTACGTTCAAATTTTCAGTTTTAATGTTGCTTTACACTAATTTTTTTTTAATTTCCAACAAAAATATCTAAAATCTCGTATAACATTTCAAATGTGCCACCCATGATCAGTGCATCCAATTAACAAACAACAAGGGAACATTTTGTATACGCTTTTAGAAAGTACGAACTCTTATTGAACAATAGTTATACAAATTAATAAAAACTATTGAAGCCATAGACTCATTAACAAGACAGTACACTAGGTACAGTCATGGACTCATGGTACAGCACTACAATGAGATGAGAGTAAATTTAAACTATCCATAGCTGCCATATATTTTCCAGTAAAAAATGCGGAGTTGTGCTCCCCTGTTATTTTTTTATATATGTGTTATGTAGACACCTAGTAACCAATATCATGTAGATACCCATTACATAAGATTATTCGGACTAGAAATTAATCAAATTTACTTTACACGAATCATTTTTGAGAATTTGTCAAGGAAATTTGAGAATAATTATTATACCAAACAGCTTAGAAAAACGGTGCACTCATAACAAATGTGCTGACCCTATAACGTAAAATGTTTATGGCATAAAACTATTTATTAATTGCATATTTGTATCGATATTTTGTTTGGGATTCAAAAAATAATGATTTAGTTGAGTTCATATTTCTTAGGACTACATTCATAAATATGTTGAATAATACCAATATTGGCTATTACAAGTTACAAAAACGTTTTGGTTTATTATCTTATACAATTTGATGGAATTTGATCCCGTCACGGTTACGCATACGTTGATTCGGGCCCATGTGTATTTATACGCATTACGCATAGTATAATACTATAATAATGGCTCTTGCCAAGGTGACCCACTAACAAAGTATCTACTTAATGAGATAGTGAGATTAAATACGCTACTACTTTAAATCGATACTGTTTTTCTACTAGAGTATAATATATATTATTACTATCAATAAACATAACATACCTTACTATTTAATACAATTGATTTTAGATGGATGATGACGTACAATTATTTCAACTAATATACCTAAATTAAAATTATGCTATACCTATGCCAAGGTTACTTCTATGGGAATGACCCTCACTTGTGATGTGCATGTACTTAACATCTGTGCTATTTGTCTGTTTAACCCCCCCCCCCCTGACTAAAATTTTTAATAAAGCAATTATCAGCAATAATATGCTTCAATTATAATGCATGTGAGATAGAAGTAAAATGATCGTCATTGTTAAATACAATTTGATATAGGGGTTGACTTTGGGTCTCGAGCTAATTTTCGATTGTTCTTCTATTTTAATACTCTGATATAGCCTTATAAGTAGGTGTATATATCAACATGAAATATTTGTGTAATTGTGTAGGTGTATAATTAAGAATAGGAAACAATTGAATTATTTATTAAATTTTAAAATTTGTGAATTAGTACATAAATCATTATTTTTAATTACGATTTACTATAGTTTTATGCATTTGCCTCTTGAAAATCGGAACCATGCTAGTTTATTACTAAAAGCTAATAAAAAAAAAAAAATCGAAACAAAAATGTTTTGTTTCTTAAATTTATAATAATTTATTTGTCATTTAATCAAGTTTGTTTTTGGCATTATAGCATTCAACATTCGATAGATTGATTTTAAATAAATGAAATCTGTCATTTTTTTTCTTTTAAGTTCTATAGAAGCCTTTTTGGCAACCCTTTACATAAACGTTAAGTGAGTTAAAAAATTAAAGTTAAGTAAATTATAAAGCTTAAAAATATTAAAGACACATAGGGATCATTATTTTTTATATACATTAAAACTTCAAATTTTGACAAAATTCAAAATTATTTTCCAGTTCGAAAAACGCATACATTTTTCTATTCATAGCAAACATTAAACTTTTTTTTAAATGTTTTATACAACTTAAATTAACTCAGTTAAAAATTATTATTAACTTCCCCAGGCATGGTATTTAATAAAAATATTTATTATAATAAAATTGATAAAAAAAAACACATTCAATGAAATATTTTAACAGTAGAAATAAATAATTCAAAATTGTCTCTAATATTTGTGCAAAATAAAATAAAAGTTTTGTTATGTCTNCAGACTGAACGATATGATATGAACAACAAGGTATGATCGGAACTTCTTTTTGGTCAGGTCCTTAGGTAGGCCAGTGACCTGGAGTAGCGCCTAAGAAAACACATTCAATGAAATATTTTAACAGTAGAAATAAATAATTCAAAATTGTCTCTAATATTTGTGCAAAATAAAATAAAAGTTTTGTTATGTCTTTTAGGATGCAGTTGGGTGAAAATAATTAATAAACAAGTACATTTTCAAATTTTTAAAATCGCATGCTTATCGCTTATATTAACAAGTGATTACATTACATACGTCGTAACCTAACATTGTTATATCTTAGATTTTGAGTGAAAGCTTCATAACATTACCCCTTTTTTTTATAATTTTTTTTATTTTTCAGATAACTACACAAGATCCAATTTACAAATTAAAAGTAGGTATAAAGATAATAAATATAAACTATTATACACTATAACATGATAAATAATAGTAGAAACGTTTTACTCAGACTTGAACATAACAAGGTGACTTAGAATAAACTTTACTTTCAACAATTAAATAATTACCTTTTTTTAAAAAAAATAATTAAACATAATTATAAGTAATTATGCCTATTACAATATTTTACAAAATTAATTAATATCTAAGGTTGATACCTATCAGGTGCCTTACGCTCTCTCTCTCTCTCTCTCTGGATATCGACGTGTCGTCAACTCTGTACCCAATGTATCATTAATATTTGTATTATTATTGGAATGTGAGCCCAAGTTACAGCCCAAGATCTTACTACAAACCGATAAAGACTTAGGTGGATGGAGACGATCACCTAAATAACTCTTTCTCATTTGATTAAGATGCACTTTCCTTATTTTTTCATTAACCTTAACCAAATAAATTACTGACCCAATTTTTTTTGTTACTCTACCCAATTCCCAAGTATAACCTTTTTTATTAATGAAGTTCTTTTTAGTCAAGACTTTGTCATCAATACTAAATTCTCTGGTGACAGGTGCACTTAAATCCAACTGCACTTTACTCTTAGGAATTAACCAAGATAACTGGGTCCTAGGTCTAAATTTAAACATAAGTTCTGCTGGAGCAACCTGTGTAGTTGTACAAGGTGTATTACGGTAATTAGATAGACACCTTAATAATTTATTCTTCATTGCTTCTTTCCCCGGTGGACACCCAGCCACAATATTCTTTAATAAGTATTTTTTTATGGTCTGAACACCTCTTTCAAATAACCCATTAGAGGTTGAGTTATAAGGGGGTGTATTTATATTATATTTTATATTATTTTTAAGTAAAAACTGTTTAAAGTTTTCATTGTTAATGGAGGCTCATTATCAGCTAATATAATTGCTGGCAACCCAAAACAAGCAAAACAAGATTTTAGTTAGTAATTTTTTAAGTTAAAAAGTTTATAGCAGCTAAAATAACTTTAACATTCATGATATTAGTCTATATAAATTGTTAAGTACCTCCTACGTCCTTGGAAAATTAAAAAATTACAATCGTATTTTAGAATTAGTTTGAATCAAAAACTATATTATACTTCCTACTTTATGTATAAATACATGTTATACCTACATTACATTTTTAAGTCTTAGTGAGCTATAAATTAGTTTTAACTTTTAAGATGAGTAGGCACGACACTATATTGTAATTTATTATTATTTGACTTTAACTTTTTAATGTATTTATTTACTTATTTATTTATTTATTTATTTATTTATGCAATAAAAAATATATTTATTTTAATATTTTTTTATGTTTTTACCTAATTTTAATTTAAAATTATTAATTGTGGTATTTCAGTATACCTGTAAAACCTTTTATTGTTTATAATAATAGATTCTAACTATTTATTTTCGATTACTTCACTTTAATCAAAGCAATATTTTAGTTGGTATCAATTAATTTTATACATTTCTTAACTAAATAAATAATAATTATATCCGTTCTTACCTTTGCGTCGTTTTTTGTTGTAGTGGGTTGAGTGGCATCATTCTATATTCTGAACAATCGTCAAAGTTCATGTTTTGTCTAATAGCCAAAGTGAAGTGGAACGTGTTGAATTGTGCAGATGTACTTATATGCTCAGATTTTGTTCTGTTCGAAGATATTTTCAGACTGAACAATATGATATGAACAACAAGGTATGATCGGAACTTCTTTTTGGTCAGGTCCTTAGGTAGGCCAGTGACCTGGAGTAGCGCCTAAGCGTAATAAAACGTAACCTAACGCCTAATTGTATTAAAACAGTTTATATAGAGCATATTAAGCATATTAATAATTGAATGACAATATCATGATAATATGGGTAAGTGACATGTTGAGCGTACTTAAACCAAATCTGAAACTTTGAGATCATTCCATGTTGTTTATATCATGAGTACTTATCTATACCTTGATTGTGGTATATAATGGATACCATGGCTAAATAACGAAGTATGATCGCATTGAGGCATATTTTAGCTATGATCTGCGCACGTACTATTATATGCATGATATTATATATTATATATATGATTTAACATGGAATGGAATCTCAGCTTTCAGTGATTTTTAGATTTATTTAGCCATGGAATTAATAATTGTTTTATTGTTTTTATAACTAATAAATCGAAGTGATAATAATGCACTGCCAGTGGCGACCATGACACCTCACAAAGTTGCGATCATACCTATATATTTAACCATGAAAGTTACAACAGCTATAAGGCATAACTACCCACTATAGATAATATATAGGAATAGATAGGCCACACACTCCTATATAAACAAAATCAGTTGTTGCATTCGGGGATGAGGATAAGAAGCAGACTACTTTTGTACAACGTACTCACTCTAGCAAGGGGTTTTATCATATTTGTTTAAAATGTTCAATACCTAATACATGATAGTAACCATAAAGTATAGAATAAGGAGACTAAACTCATACTGCCACATGCTGCACTGTGGTATCATGGGTTGCTAGGTACTTTAAGAGGATGTAAGAGCACCATTTGTTTTCTCCCTTTGATCCACGTGCATGTAGAAAATGTATGTTTAGCAGAACTAACCCAGTGTTGTTACTTTTAATATTACAGTAAATTCACATATTATCAAACTTTAAGCTAAGAATATTAGCTGTGTCCCTTCCTTGACTTTTTTACAATATTTTAATTGTATATACATATTTTAAAAGCTCATAACCTACATAAAAATTAAAATATCATAAAATATCCAACGCAAAGATACAGGTAATGTTCTCAACTTAAAGTTTGATGACAAGTGAATTCACTTTAACATTAAAAGTAATAACACAGGGTTGATTTTGCTAGTTCTGCTAAATGTACATTTGTCATGTTACGCTTTGGTCAAAGAGAAAAGAAATAGTGAGCTTAACCCACTTATTTAGTGCCTTGATTATTCATGTATTTTACGTTTCATGGAAAATGTATGCATTATTTTGAACCAAGTTGAACCAACCTTGTTTTTTATAAATATTATAGTTTGTACAATTATACATGTGCATATTAAGTGTATTGTGTATACTTCATGAATATACTTTTATTATTTCGTAAATAATTAAATTATACCTGCCAATTTACAATCCGTTAACACTATAATCTATAATTATTTTATATACATCTTTTATACCTATAATATATTTGTGTTCATGGTAAGTCTGTTCCCGATAATAATCAAAACATCATACTACTCAATACCTACGTGTCTTCTTAAACAATAGTTTTGTACCTACCGATACATCGTTGTGCTATAAAGAAAGTGTGATTAGAGAGAGTGAGCTGCTCCGTATGAAACACCTATACGTACACATATTACGCATATGCACATGTATCTATGCACAGTTGTACAAACTACAAAATGTATTATTTTTATTTTTAAGTTAATTCAATTAGTTTTCAGAAATTCGCTCAGCAGTCAAATTCTGTTTGAACACTCTCATTAAACAAAAAAAAAATGTTTAGGCACACTGCAGTGGGTTTATAGCATAAGTAAACGGCTAAACTGTATACTATACCTATGTCTGTATGCAATACATAATATTTTTTTTAACTAGCAGATACTCAGAGTGACACACGGAAACAGGAAATATTTACAAGTAGGTATCGATTTCCTATTAAATTGTTAAAAACAGTTGTAACTCGATAAGAAATACGTATTCAAACACATTTATTAAATCGAAATATTATTAGACACAATTACAGAATAATATATAGGTTTTTATCATTATTTATAAAATTACAGTTTACTTCAGACAATAATAATAATATAGTAACTCAATTAAATAATTATGACATACGAGTAAAATCAATTAAGATTACACATAATTGAGAGTGGATACATTTTGTCTTAGTATGTATAAAATTATATAGGTATAATGTAGTATAATACAACTCATAAAGTACCTAGTATCTCAAATAATAAATTCTAGAAACTCAATTAGATGTCGGTGTGCTTTGAGCGATAATTAGCCGAGTAAGCATTTTATGAATCTGATTCATACAGACACCACCTCACATCAAATCGAACACAGAAAACAAAAGTACAATAGAGTAAATATAATATACATTATTTTATCAGTCTTAACCTTAAGCATAAAAGATATATAATATAACGTCTGATAATATGGACTAAAACTTAATTGTGTTGAAAAACACGTCCATTGAACCAGATTACAAAAATAAATTTAAAATCCGAATGTAATGATCATTATTTAATTAAATATCACACCATTGCACAAAAAACATATAGAGAAAAATACAACAAGTGTGCTGGTATTAAACAATATCATTAAATATAGGTATTAAAATATTATAAGTACATGTCATAAGCAAATTGTTTAAACTGATATAATATGGATCATAACAAAAAACAAAATCATAAATAAATAATTTATCATTATTCATTTCAAGAGAACATACAAACAATAAAAAATAATAATACAAATATATACTTGAATTTTGATAATTTAAATATTACTGGGTCTGAATGGGAAATCGTACCTAGTAGTTTCCATGGCATTCTTTCCAAAACACCAAGAAAACCAACTTATTATATATTTAGTATCAGTGGCGCCCAGCTCATATTATACAAGGTGGAGCGACCGATTTTGACGTGGGTGGGAATACATATTCAAAATAAATGGGAGGGTGGGCTAGGAAAACTGTGCTTCGCTATATCCGAAAAATATGTGTTAGGAGCCACCACAGTTTAGTATTTACAACTAACAAACGGTATTAAATAACATATCGTGGCAGTTGATACAATGACCAAATATAAATTATTTTAAATTAAAACATACTGAAAATTTAAAAACAAAGTACTATTTGGACAAATCAAATAACATGAATAAACAAAATAAATGTATAAAGCACCATGGGTGGAGTCTGTAAATAAAAAATGTTGTAATGTATAAACATTAGTTTTATTATGAGAAGTAATATCTAATAAACTAAGATCCTTCACAATTAAAATTATACAATAAGTACCTACATAGTTTTATAAGACATTCAAATTATACTTCCGAAAAAATAAGATTTTGTATGGAATAAATATATAATTAATTTTATCATATCTCTAGTAGGGATGATAATATTATCATCAAATTATTTGAACTTATTTAAATTTTTGGGGATATTTTATGAGAAATAACTGTCAGATATTGACTACCCCGGGGGGTATGTCTAAGATTGACAAGCAATGTAATTTTAACTTCTTAATTTAAAGAAGAACTGAGTATGATTAATTTTAGTTTCCTACAATCTAACATAACTAATATTCTTCTAAAAAAAAGTTTATTTAACATTTGTAATAATAACAATTTTAAATTAGTTTAATGTATTTAATTTAATTAATAATGATAATCAAAATATTGAAATAAAACATTTTAAATAATAAATAATTCTTACTAACTACCTTTTGTACTATATGTAAAATTATTTTATATACATTGTACACAACATAATAGATAATATAAATGCGAACACATTACAATAAAAATTTTGAAGTATTTAAACTATAACACAAATAATGTGATTCTTATAATTTAATTTATACATTTTTACACGTTAAAATATTACCTTATAATTCATATTAACAAAAATAAAAATGTTTATAAAATAATTAATAATTATATTATTGTATTTACATTTAAAACAATAAATTCAATGATTATAATAAAGATAGTAAAAGTAAAGTTAACCTTTTCATAATAAACAAATAAAAAATATTAACTAACTAACAAAAATGAACAGACGTTAAAATACGTAATATTAAAAAATAATAACGTTATACGTTAATAATTTAATTAATCTTTAAAATAATATTTTTTTTTTTTAAACTGTTTTTGATAAAATTTAATATCATTCAATTCTAAGGCGGCAATAGTACACCAGCATTGTAAAAACCATATTGGTAATCATCTGCCATATTAAGATCATTGAGATTAATTTGATCGTTCAGGTCAAAATTAACAAGTTCAGAGGATATCATAGAAACTTCTTCCGTGTTCTTGGATTGTTGAAATTGTAAATTAAATTCTTCTTCGGCCGGGTCTTGATTATTATAGTAATCAAACGAGAATACCGCAGAAAGATTATTTGTCTTCTTGCATTGTTGTAATTCTGAATCGGACTCAAATATAGCATTGGACGAATAGGTTTCTAACGAAATTAAATCATTGAAATGATTATCATCAAATAAAATATCATCATCAAATGGATGATCTTCATTAAAATTTTGATTATTATAATTAGGAACATCAATATCCATCAAGTTCAGATCATTAGTAACAGAACCATCATATAGATTATTTTCATCAAAATTTTTAATATTTTCGATCAAACCATTAGATGTAATCTCATTATTTGCATTCATTAAATCTTTAAAATCTGGAATAAACACGTTCTCGAAGTCATCATTTAAAGATTGAGTATCTGGAGTAACTAAATTATTAATTGTAACATTATTTATAATATCTAACTCATTAGATGTGGATAAATTGCAAGTAACAAGTGACATACCAACATCATTGGTGTCCATAGGGTCCATTTGGACATTTACATTTGGTTCAATTTGCAGTTTCTCAATAGCTCTTATATTGACACCTTTGAAATCACTGTGGTTTTCTTTATCATTATTACAGTTATGTTTTGAACTAGACAAACACTTAGGGTATTTGGTATTAAGATATGATTCATACGCTTTCGCAAAACACGGTTGATCATACAATATCATTAACGCATTATTAATTGCGGCTTCAATTTTAATGTCTGTACATCCACTTGCAGTATCAATATAAAGGAAAATATTTTTGAAGATACTTACTGCCAATTTATAAAATTTATCATCTTGAAGATATTCTTCACAAAACCATCTTACATATACTTCAACAAATTTTGAACCATGTCCAGTATTGCTTTCTTCTATTGGCAATGTGACACCAGCTTTCAGAAGCTTGGATATGAATCTATGCGAATTATTACATTCTTTCCAAGACTGATGAATAGAATCGTCCGATTTAAGAATATCAACCATACTCTTACATATTTCTTCATTCGAACTGTTTTTCTTTATACAAAACCCTGTATTTGTTACACGAAAATGTTCAGAATTTGAACTTTCTGGCGCATCATTATTCGCTGAGCATGATGGCAGACCATGGGCATGTGCATATTTAAGTGATAGCTTAGTATTATGGCCGTCGTGGCCTATCTGAACATTTGACAAGCTCTCAAAAAGAGATTCTTTGTTCAGTACAATCCTAAGACCAGATTTTTGTAAAAAATCTTTTACCTTTTCGCAAAATTTAGTAATAATATTTTTAACGAAGCTAAATAAAATGTTAATAGTTGGACTCCTTTGGGAAATTATATTATTTACAATTACTTTACCTAAAGGCCAAATCAAAAAATTTTCCACTTCAGTAAAAGTAAAATATTCTTGTTGCAAACACGTCTCAGTTTGTATGGATCTTAAAAGTTTGTCAATGTCTATCATATCACATATATTGTTTTCTCTTAAACCAAGAAAGTCTAAGTTAAGCTTATCACAAAGCGCCATCTTGAAGCTTCCAATGTACACGAGAATTTGAAACAACCTTGTTCTACTACCAGGTGGATACCTTTTCCAATTTATTTTATAAAGATTTACATCTGAATACATAATAATCGATAACGTTCTTTTTTCTAATTTGTTTAATTTTATTTGATGTGATAATAATGTATTTTCATGTCTTTCACTTAGTCTTAAACAATTGTTTGAACTAATACATTGCATTTCCAAAGTATTTGTTGGTCTTTCTAGTTCTAAATAATTGGAATAAGACGTTCCTTCTCCAGAGTAACTTATAACAGTTCTCTCTAAATCAACGGTTGGAATGTCCATATCTTGATCAACTATGGCAGTTCTTTTTTGTTCTAAGCAATCTATGAACGGTTTTACTTCTCTTGAAGAATGTCTCAGAGTTTCATTTTCGATATTATGGTTTTCATTGGAAGTACATTGGACATGAACTGGTTTCACAATTGCTTCTGTGGACCTATTTTTTGAATTATCTTTAGTAGTTTCCATGTTATGCTTAACTTTTTTGCGATTAAAAAAATTACGAGATTGAATTTCTTTGAAAAACTTAAGATCATGTTTTGGAAATTTATCAGCCTTAAAACAATTATCGATCTCAGGAGTAGGAGTATTGTACAAGAACTTTAATACACTAGCTGGTGTTCTATCAATATCGTCAAGATCAAAGTCATCGTTATTAATTGTATTGAGATCTTCAGAAATAATAGTGTGGTTTATTTTAGTGCCATCTTGAAATCTATTAAAATCATAATTTTCATTTGCACATGTTTCTAAATCTACTTTATCTATGCATTGTCCAGGTTCGAGTATATTTTCATAAGCATGTTTTATGTCAGCTACTTGATAAGGACTGAGTCTATCGACATTCATTAAATGTTTGTACTCATCAATAATTTCCAAAAATTGTTTTCTTTTTGTCGTACCTTTGTGGTAGAGTTTTATAGACGTTATTTCATTTTTATAACCTTTGCAATTCGCCTTTTTTTTATACCTCATAGAAAGCATTCTAAAACATTTCCTCGATATAGTATTGAAAAAGCTACAAATTATATTAATACATAAAACTAGGTGTGGTTTCTTAGGATACCCTGTTAAACCTCCATTATACAATATTAATTTTTTTAAACTCATGTTACATATAGTTGTTCTACATCTTGAATGTCTGAGTAGTGTACTTTTGAATCGTTTGAATTGTTTCAAAGATAATACAGGTATTCTAGGTGTTTTGTGCATCCATAATTCACAGAATTTTTGATAACATAATTCAAATAAATATTTTTTAAGATCAATAGACATTTGCCTGCTCTGTTGCCTGCTTACTAAACCAATTGTATATTTTTTGAATTGTATAGATTCAGTATACATTAAATCCAGTAGCTTCGAGATTTTATCGACAGATGGGTATTTAATAAAATCTAAAACAATATCTGGATTCAATTTTAAAAAATGTAACGGAGTTTTAGAACGTTTAGTGTTATAGATTTTACTTTTAAACCTAAATTTGCGGAAGATATTAATAGAATTTCTTGTAAGATGTTTAACATTAAATGGTCCTATGTAATCACTCTTGATAAAATCCTCTTGATAATGTTCTATTTTTCTCCGTTTAGGGTATCTTTGGTTCACTCCAAAGGTAAGCCCCTCTATAGTTTCTGGAAGTTTTCTAGCATGCTTTTTCAATCTCCTCATAATGATTGGGGGAGCCAAATGTACAGCACATTCTTTGATAAACATATGTTCATTGTTCATTTGCATAACTCTTTTTGTATTGAACCTTGTGGAATGTTCTCCATGATTATAAATGTGGTTCTTCTCTCTCTTTTTTAATTTAGACCCCATTTTTGTATTTGTGATTATATTTCAAACCTAAAATAAAACATTACTCTTTATAATACATATTCATAACTTACCTAAGTATTAAAATATAAATGATAGATTATAACCTTTAGTTAAGATTCAAAAATTAATAAAGAATATGGTAAATGTTTATAAGTTATAGCTTATATTAAATTGTATTATTTTATTCTTATTTTATCTATGCCGAACGGCAATTAACAAAATGTATGATATGAAAGTATATTTTGGTGAAATTATAACTTATAAATACTTATAACCAATAAATTATATGAATGATTTAAAAGTACCTACAGTAGATAATAAATTATGTAATCCCTCAAAAAAATATAAATTTGGTCTAATAACCATACAACGATAAAAAATTACTTATTACCTGTATTACAAATCAATGTATACAATTACCCATAAAAATTACTTTAAATTAATAAATTAATGAATAAATAAATAAAAAGAAATAATATTATAACATCTATAACAATAGGCTTGAACTAAAACACACCATTAAAAAAAAAGAATGGAAACATCCCCTTATTATAAAAAGAGAATAATTAATAATCACAGAGTGAGAATGGGACACACACACACTTAACCCACTAATATTTCATCACCAAAGATCTGCCCACAACATATTTTGAAACATGTTATGAACAAATGCCAAATATACACCACAGCATCTTCATTGATCCACCTTCACTCTAACATGCAATATTTTTAATTTTTACTTATACCTAACTCGTATTTAATTTTGAAATAGACTAATAACCACAGATATTGAAGCCTTAACGAAAAATTATGTACACGCTTGAGCAATATGCTAAACAATATTCTAATCAACACCAAAGTACATATTACAAAAAAGGAAATTTTCAGTAGGTACCTACAAATTAATAAATAAAAAAAGTTTCTTATTTAATTTAAAAGAATTCTCTGACAGGATTATTTATTGTGAAGATAATTAATGACTTCTTGTATGTATAATACCGGTTATAATAAGTCCTGCCAACTTTAATTTCACAATTCTTTACTCATATTTTATAGTTTATATTTTTTTTCAACAATTTTTTTATTGTATATTATTTTACATATTTTGGTTTATGTTTGAAAATTGAAATATGACAATATTTTAAGGTATATTAAATTATATACAATCGAAATCGAATTATGACGATGCCGCATGTGACGATATTCCAGATAAAACGATTCCCAACCATGTATTTAGTTGGTTTTATATAATTATATCGCATGTCCAGTAATTTTAGTCGGATATAAGGATATCGGTTATACCGATGTTATTTTAAAATGAAATTTTTTTTTTTATTAGCCTATATCAATAAATTGGATTTGTTTAGTTAAATACTGATATAAATACGGCAGAAATATCTATAGTATTAAAAAATTATTGATAATTATGTTAAGAAATCGTATGGTTCCAGCTATAGACAAAGTCCAACAACTAATTTTTTTTTAATTAATACTAGATATGCAACATACATGACATACTTATATTAATTATACATTTGTACATATTATATTTGTTTAATGAATCAATTTTTTAAACAATTCAATATTTTTTTTTGTCTTCCGGATACAAAGATCTAATTTTTTAGGTCCCTTGAAGATCGTTTTAAGTGGATTTTACTGTACTTTATATAAGTTATTGATTAAAATATATTTTTTTTTATGTTAAAAATTAGGTAGTTACCTATTATGAATTTATAAAAATAGGTTATTCATTGTTCTAATTCTAGCTTATTTAATATATAAAACATAAAAGAATTAGAAAGTATTGAAAATATAGATATTTTATAATATTTTATTCAATCAGAATAATACTACTCCTCAAACTCGCGTAGACGGGAGAAGAATGAATATTTAAATAACAAATCAATAATGCTTAACACTTTAGTCAACAAGTAGACTAAAGATCAAATATATTTTTACAAATGTATAATTACTAGTTCAATATTTTTCTATGAGTAAATTTAGACATAAATTTAACATAACATAAAATTAAATTGTTACGAGTTGTAACTTACCAGTTTATAATATCTGCATGTTACATTGAGAATAAATTGACATTCTGAAAACAAAAATTATACATGTATAAATGTTTACAGTTCAAAAGTTTTATATAGGGACGTATAATATACTATCAACTGAGTACATAATGCATTAACTATTTTTATATTGGTACTAGTTTTATACTAAGTACCTAATAAAAATATTCTATAAAACTGTAATAAAATTTAACAACATTGGAACACATTGTAGAAAATACGTAAATTATTCATAGACCATATTATACCTAAATAAGAAATTAAATCATAAACGAATTAAAACAACCGGATAATTCACAACAATTCTGTAAGTAGATGTCTAGTGTAATGTGTATCTCTTTATTAAATACTAATGTTACTGTTGTGGATGGGTAGAGTACGATTCCATACACTGCTTATCGGCGGTAATCACAATGTAGAGAAGTGATAACTCAGGGTTCGGGACTTATAGCATTTGCATATCCATCATAGGTGATGTAAAACATAGTAGAGTGAAATACAAATACGTTTTATAGTAGGGAGAAATCAAATAAGAAATTTCATGTGGCATATTTTAGAGCTTTTTGCATATTTATTTATTTTAAAATGTCTGTAAAAAAGAACCATGTTTTATATTTATTGGTTACCGTATGAACTATTTATCAAATCCTTGTTTTACATTAGTATTCCTTAACGATTAAGCTTTTAACTACAAAATAATTTAAATATTTTCGTGACATTGCCAAAATTTGAACTTAAATACTTATAAAAAAATATGCCTACGGATCTTTAATATTTCTTAACTTATAAAATTGTTAATTTAAGAATAACAACAAAATAAGAAAATAGTTCGATGAGATTTCGTTAATTTACAGATTTATCATATATCAAGTAGAAAAAAATTGAACTTCAAACGTTATATCTAGGTAGAAAAACTGGTGAAATCTTTTATTAAATTCTCAAATCTTAGAAACAAATCTACACCACAAAAGTCAAGTAACGCAAGTCACAAAAACAAAATTAATAAACTACATTTCAACACTCCCATCATAGTTTATGACTAACGTTCTATAACTTAATTCTTACTTAAGACACGCTCAAAGGCATTTTTTGGATTTACAATCAACTTTTTTTTTATTAATTTCAGCCAACAACAACTTATGATTTGGAAACGAACCGTTTTAAATATTGTTATTACTTTCCAATAACTTTAGATCCGTTTTCTATTATTTATTAACTATCAAAGGCTGAGCCAAAAGCACTAAAATATGTTCGATTTGAGGATACATACATTTTGTGTTATCTCCGTCTTACAAACGTACCGCATATAGCAAATTTACATTCGGCGGAATAACCAATTTCGCGTTGTTAGCTTTATATGTTCTACTTTTGAAAGGCGAGGACAACACATCATGGTTAAGATCATTGTTTGATTGCATTAATTGTAATTTACAAAAGCATCATTCTATATTACAGTATAATAAATGTTAAATATATTGTTATCTGGTTAAGGCCAGTGGAGTGTAGTAATATAGGGGGGGGGGCTAACGGGCCGAAGGCCCCCCCACAACATTGACAGTATTATCATTACTTTAAAAAAATATATTTATCAAGTTTCAACTGTCGTCAACTGGTGAGTTAGTACGTAACTTTATATCCTATACGTCTTATCACATTAGCTAGATTGGCTAAATTAATTTTTGCGTAAAGAGTCCGATGTAAACTTGACGACCCAGACAGAGCTAACTCAAAGGATGAGATCCGATGAGCAGAGCGTGACATCCTGCTTGTTGCCTGGTCGAACAGGTGGAGTCGTGGCATTAGAGGAGCCTGGACGCACAAGATTCTTTCGGACCTGCTAAGATGGACGAGAAGGTGTCCCAAAAACCTCACGTTCCATGTAACGCAGGCTCCTACGGGACACGGGTGTTTCAGGTACTACCTGCACCGGATGAAGCGCGCCCTTGATAAGGCTTGCCTGTTCTGCCAACACCCGGAGCACACGATCTTTGATTGTGCTTACTGGGATCCGCTTCGGCTGCCAGTGAAGATGTTTGTTGGTAACCGAAATATAACGCCGGGTGACGTTCAGGATTTGTTGTGCGGCCCCTCTGATATCCCGCCCAGCGAGAACGACCGGCTACAGGCTGCCTCCCAACGCGCCACTCAGTCCTTTTACGATATGGTCGACAACAATTTAAGCTGTAAGGTGCATGATGAAAGAATAGCTGAGACCGATCGAAGAGCGAATGCATTGGCAGCCGCCCCAAGTGACTGAGCATACGAAGATGCACTCGACAGCGGACCGCTATTACCGACGGATTTTATTTACTTATTGTATCGCACTGTAATGTACTAATGTACTGTGTATAATTGTGTATTGTAATGTATTTTATTGTTTTGTATTGTATTTATTGTATTAATATTTTTATTTTTAAGGTGAAGCAACCATAATAATTTATTTATGCATTAAGTATGTGTATGTATTAGCGTTTTTATTAAACATTAATAAACGATGGCAGCAGAGGAGTAGTAGTGTTCAAACAGATCCTCCTCTACTGTTGGTTTAAACGGGGGAAAAAAAAATTTTTTTTGCGTAAACATTGAATTTGCATAAGTACCAATCTTCAGAAATGATCAGTGATTTATTAGGAAAAGTATTAACTACATGTATAAAAGACCTTTTAATAAATTATCAAGCCTTATCCATCAACATTTTTATAAATGGTGAACTAAAATATATTGAAAGTAAAAAATAGAAAAATTTTGGGTACTCCGCTGTTTATGTAATTTGAATAAAATATTTATTTAAATTGAGATTAAATAATGAGTATTGGAATATTGAAAATATTATAATTTTAATTTTTTATAATTAAAATTCAAATACGAGTCTTAAGACTAGGTACACAAACTTGTAAATCAAGGGACAAGCTATTTTGGGCCCCCGTGAAGTGATTGTTAGGAATTTACATATTTTTAATAACATTGTCATTTTTATCATCAAGTCATCAATAGGAAATAAATATTAATTAATAAGATATTATGAGCACCCCCCCCTCCATGTACATACTATTCTAGGCCCCTGTCCTAAATGTTTGTCCGGTCCCTTTATATAACTTCCAAAAATACAATTTACCATCTAAATACATAACAATTTTTGGAATAATATTTTTTTTTAACCATACCAATTCAAATTCAATATTCATAGTTAAAGTAACTAGTTAAACCATAAAAAATTAAGATTTATAAGCATTTTAACATTAATATCAACAATACACACATCCATACCCACATAGGGGTGATAAAAAAAAATTGTGATATATTTCAGGTTATAACTAACTATAAAAGCATACAGGGCCGGACTGGGTCAAAAATGTCTACCGGAAAAAAATCGGCTCACTTAGTTAAATCTATAAAAACAGCCCTAAAAACCATATATTTTCATATAAAATGATTGTATATTATTTTGAAAATTTGAACACTTGTTATTATTATTAAAAATTAAAAAAATTAAAAATTAGTTAGTACGAAGATATGCTATCATTTTTATTTAAAATACATATGTTTAGACTCTAGAATACACATTAATATGTAAGCAATCTATTAAGGTTTGAGGCTCTGAGCTCTTTTGCGAAATCGTGTAGATTATGATTTCGGCGGCACCGGAAAAGATGGGAGTTTGTGTGATGATAATACATTGTCGCACATTTTAGGCGGTGCAGACGTGCGTTACTGCAAGGTAGGGATTACCGATTAACGAAGACAATAATATGACATAAGCATCTATTTTTGACAATTTATACATTTTTACCTATCAATTTTAAGGAATTTCCTTAAGATTTTGTCGCACACCCATGTACGATAGTCACGAGCCGCCACTGGACAGTATTCTAATCAAATCGCATTAGAAAATGCGTCTATGTCTGTCGACAGAATAAGCCTTAACCAATAAACCTGAAAAAAAAGGTACCTAAAGAGTACAAGCGGCCCACCGGGAAACTCACGGTATTCCTCCTGCCCAGTCCGACCCTGGAAGTAAATAATACAATAATATTTGTATTATTAATATTTGGTAATACTCAGTAATAGCATCAGGATTTTTGTTAATTAATTCAAAAATAATAGTCTCTTCACATGAAAATACTCATTTAAACTAGAACTATAAATAAATAACTATAAATAACTTTAGAAATTCAAAGAAACTGATATTAGCTTTAATTTTTAATCGGTTTTTCTAACGGTTTTTAATTCCTCGGTTTCGGTTTGGGTCTTGAAAAGAGTTTTTTAACTCTAAGGTTTCAGATACTGTTCTTTAACCAGGGTTTTGAAGCTGTTGGTTTCGGTTACGGTGTTCAATAATAAAAAAACTTAGATTTGATCCCTGCCCATGAGGAACCTTTTATTCAATTATCAAGTTCTTTGACTAGCAATAAATTTGCTATGGACAATAATTTTTATAAAAAACTAATGAAAATCAAAATGTTCTGATTCTCATAAATATATCAAAAAGAGCTTAAATCAAAATATTATGGTGTATAAAAAATATTAATATAAAAACATTGTTGAAAATTTCAAGTGTCTATGGTTATATTTTTCAATAATTCAATATTTTACACTAAAAAATAAAATCAATTTCCTCGAAAATTGGTTTTGCGTAAAAATCCATTTTTCCATAATTTTTTTTTTTCCTGGCACTTTTTTGGCAATCTATATTTGTTGGTTGTAGGACACTTCGTACGGTCACCCACAAAAAATGAAAACCGTGGACAGTTTGTACTCTTTCAAAAAGTAATAAAATATACATGGTGGACAGTTTGTACTATTTAAAAAAAATGTATAATTTGTTATTATAAAACACAGGTAGTTAACATATAAAATAAAAAATAATAATAATAGTATTTATGGAAATAAATTCGTCAATAATTATTTGTGGTATGTATTTTTAAAACATTCACTGTCACATAAATCATAATAATATATGTATATATTTAAAAATTAAACGTATTGCAAATTATTTCGAACAATTGTAAATTAGTTATTATTT